TGTCAGCACAGGCCAGCTTGAGCACAGACAGGATTTCACAGAAGAAGTGGTTGATTTCATGGGGCCCACAGAAGGGCAACCTCAAGATCAGAAGTAAATGGACCAGGGCCAAGATAAAGCTAAACACCCAGGAAGAGACAGCCAGAACAATACACCCTCTCCAGCTCATGATGACAGTGTAATGTAGGGGGTGGCAGATGGCCACATATCTGTCATATGACATCACCACCAAGATCAGAGACTCTGTAGCAGCAAAAGCCAAAAACAAGAATGTCTGCGTTATGCATGGAACAAAGGAGATGGTTCTTTTCTGATTCACAAGATTTGTCAGCATTTTGGGGACATTGTTGGAAGCATAGGACATATCAACAATGGCCAGGTGTGAGAGGAAGAAGTACATGGGGGTGTGCAGTCTGGGGTCCAGGCAGATAAGCCCCAGAATGACCCCATTCCCCAGCAGTGTGATCATATAGAAGAGAGAGAAAAGTCCAAAAAGAGAAAACTCCAGTGCTGGATCGACCTGGAATCCCAGGAGGGTGACTTCTGTGATCCGTGTCTGGTTGCCTCCCATAAGCCTATGGTGGAGAAAGACAAGACCTCGTCCACGACAAGAAGGTCTGATCTGCAGAGCAATAAGAGGTGAAAGTATTTACTCAGTGTTGCAGAGGGGGCACTTAGGAATGTATCACTTTGTATGAATTTTCTAGAATTTATCTTCGGACGTGTTGCAAAATCTAATCCAATGTGCTCATAAAAATGAGGAAAAAAATCCTGTTAAATNCATACATGGGTTGTTTTGGAGAACTCAAGCATTCTGTCTTCCCTTTCAGGGTGGGAGTCTTGATTGTTGATGTAGTTTGACGACAGATGACCCTGAAAAAATGCCACATTACGAGGTGTTTTCATACCCTAGGCTTGTTTGCCTTTCTGTCCAAGACATGAAGTGATTAGTCTCCTCTGTTCTTTATACACTTGCTCACTAATCTTCTTACCTTCTCACGTGCTTTCTACCTACTTATTTCAGATTAGAAATCCCTTCTAAATAACTTCTCAACTTTGTAGTTTTTTTCATATTTTGAAAGGTTTTCCTGTTCAGTGTCTGGCTAATACTCTGTAGAAGCTCCTCTTGCTCTCTCTTTTCCATCTCTACTATTTGCAGTTTTCTTTTCAAAATTTTATTTCCTTCTTCATGAGCACCTGATACTGAAAATTAGCTATGGGTAAAAGAATTCTTTTGCTACATGCAAGGAACCGATGTATATATTTTAAATGCAATTAAACATAATGAAATTTCTGAGGTCTTTCCAAATGTGAAACTCAAAATGGGGAAACCAATTTACATTAACGGTGGTTATATTTAAAAATGATAGTTGAATTGTAATTTTATTTTGGTTGGCTCTTTCCTCTTTTTCATTTTATAACTTAATATGGTGACAAATCTCAGAGCTTAACTCATTTTTTAGCAAAACAGAATCTTGTCAATATCTCCACAGCTTTGACAACTCAGGTCGCCGTCAAATCCCCTGATGGTCTTCCTCGTCACCTGTCCCCATGCCAGCAACCTTGTGCTGTCCCAGTGGATGCAGAGTGGGTCACAGGGATGGGACCAGTTGGACACAGTGGTTACTTCTTTCTAGTGAACTCTTCCTGGGGGTTGTGACGTCCGGGTCTGTCCAGCCTGCAGAGGGGGACCAGGGCTGTGAAAGGGATGGCAGCCTCACTACAGAGAACCCTGAGACGTGGTGCTGTCCATTTGTATTCTCTTCCCATTGTTTCCACGAAGATTTTTGAGAACTGTCCGTATTTCTAAATCAAGCTAAAGTTTCAAACCCAACACAATATTTTTTGAAATTTTGGGGTTTTTTTTGTAAATACTGAGATTTTCAAATTTATATATCAGACATGAGATTATATTATCTAGAGTATTTTTAAGCTTCCATTTTCACTGAATATAATGCATGTTTTTCATGCATTAAAGATACATTTTATAGGTATAATTTAAAAACAGCACAATACTCTATTATATTCTATTATATAACTGTTGAAATGTTTTCTTCCTGATTTTCTTATTTTTAGTAGCATTGAGGTAAATAGTCTTACAAAATTAAGATTTTTATGTTTATAATCATTTATCTAGAATATATTCATTTATTTAGAAAAACTAAGATGCTAAAGACACAGAACTTTCCAAGGTTTTGATACCTACTGATGCCTCCCTCTAGAAAACTGGACCCATTTCAGTCCCCACCGACAGTACGTGAGAATCATGCGTCTTTTCCACGTGGTCATCAGTACTAAATATTGCCTGTTGTAACGTTCTCTAGTTTGAGGCATATTGTCAATTATACTCTAAATAGTTCTGTAGCAAAGGCCATAAGGAGACAAGCCTGTNGACGTGTTGCAAAATCTAATCCAATGTGCTCATAAAAATGAGGAAAAAAATCCTGTTAAATCAGTGGAACAAGAAATATATCATTAAATATGTATATATGTTATTATATGTGTGCTTTTAGAAATGTATATATGTTATTATATAAAATGTACTTAAGTTAACATACTAGGATCTATTATAATATATCCTATATTGGAACACACACATGCACACATGCATACATGGGTTGTTTTGG